TATATATATATATATATATATATATATATATAACAGAGTGTGAAAATGTTCATATATATATGTATATGGGTGTGAAAATGTTCAGAGAAACTATTAAATCTCATAGTTTTCCATTTCAGGACATAATAAATAAGAAATATCTGTAACGCTTGGTAGGTTTTTAAATTTAGAGGATGAAAAACATCACATGGCATCACACAGTATGCCTTTATTTACTGAACAAAAGCCAATAATGCTGAGATAGACAAGCCAAACTAAAGACTGAAAGTAATCATTTTCTTTGAGCTTCGCAGGCCCTGTTTGCTCCTGGTATTAGGATGCGTTTTCGTCGATCCAATAACAAGTTGATAACGCGTAGTACAGGTGCAAATGGGATGTGAAAGATTTTGACCATTTTGACAACTTCCAGAGGTATTTCCAAATGTATCTTGATCGAATTACTCTAATGCTGTGTTCACACCAGAAACAGAATGCGCTAGTAAATCGTGCTATTCGTGGGTAAATAGACGCGTAAACATTTTACTCTATTCATGCATCAAATTTACTTCCCAATAGATGTGGATTTGCGTCATGGGCAGGGCTTCACACCAGAAAATTGCAGTTTATTTATTTTTTTTATTTATTTTAATCTTTTTTTTTTTGCGTTCTCTGGTTAATAAATGCCTGAGACAGGTTCAAATTTTTTTTGTTTTGCTTTTTTCTTCTTAGTCAGACCTTGTGATGGTTATTTAACACTTCCCAGGCTGTATTTTGATTTATACCACTTATACAAACATTAAGTTAACAATTAAAGAATTTATTTACAAATTAGGGCTTTAAGTGCCATCTTTTGGTCAGACGTGGAAATTCATTAGGCATGTAAACTCTAAAGACTGGTTTATACTTCTACATTTAGTGATCGACGTGACCCACGCCGCATGCCTTGCGCATTGTGGTGCATTTATACTTCTGCGCGCTGTTTGTGTTGCTCTGCAATAACACTTCTGAAACGCTTGCTGGCAGCAAGGTTTTTGTTCTTCTGTGTCGAGTTTCTTCACTGGTGTTTTGTTTTTTCTGAACGCTACCTTAATAAACATGTAGCTCAAACTCGCTTATTTTGAGGCAAGAACTGGCGGAAATGCAACAATTTTAATAAAAGTAAACACAAAGCAAATTTTCTATCTGAAGCTCCTTTACGGGACTTGACACTTGTAAACACTTGGTCCAACGGGTTCGCGCGGCTCTCGGTCCCTCCCACACTCGTTAGCACTACCAAGCCGACCAATCACAGAGCTTGTGCTAAGCGTCATTGCGGCTTATAGTAAAAAAATTTTTTGGACATATTTACATTTGCATTTTTATCACGCTGCAGGATGTCTTCACATCTTTGCATTGACTTGTAAATCACTCACGCTTAACGCTTCATCTGCGACTGGTGTGAACTCAGCATAACAGTGCGTTATAAGTGTACATAGGTCGTGCACTCATTATTGCGGTGCATTGTTGGATTAATTGAGTGCACTTCAGAACAACCAATAGAATTTCCAAAACCCCATTTAAGCACGTTTTAACGATTTCAGATACTGTATTTGATTTCCTGTTTTCTTTTTCAGCTGTTCTCTTGTAGATTTGCTGGTGTGCTTGGGATCATTTTCTTGTTGCATGATCAACAAGCTAAGCTTCAGCTGTCAGGCAGGTATTGTGTTAACAACACACACCTGAATCAAACTGCTCAAACTTCTGCTGATGATCAGTCTTGCAGTGGCTGACGTATTTTGTAGTTTTGATAATGTTTATTCATCATAATGTTATTCATAGTCTTGATAATGTTTATTCTTCATGAGGTTTTATTTCCTAATTTTTAAGACCTGCCAAAAATCTGATCATTTTTATGTCCTGATATGGGAAATTGTTGTAATTTTGTCACACAACTGTGTTTAGATATAGCAGTTAGCTGGCACTCATAACTCTGCTGAACTGAACATTATGTAGGTCACTTTAATCAAAGGTTACTCTGCACCATTGCATAAGTAGCTTTTAGCTCAGAAACAAAGCAGTGTCTTTTCACAAACTTATCCTGGCTTAATTTTCCCCCTCAGCATCATTCCATACTAGCAAGCACAAGGCTTGAAACACTACTGCACTAATTCTTTTGTAATACATGGTTTTGTTTTATGTCTTTAACAACATCAAAAACAACATCACTTTGTTATTTTTCCAGAAAAATCTGCTTCATCTATAATCTTTCCATTTCTATGACCAGAATAAGTGGTGCATATTTTATTATAGCCTCCTTCTACAAATTAATTGACAGAAAGGGGGACAATTACTATTAGAAGAAAAACAACTCTTAGAAATCTCAGTTTGCAGTGTATTTCAAGGAGAATCCTTTACTTTGATCTGAACATGCCTTCATATTTTAAGGAATTGTGTAATACAGGTTAAATGTGTGGATAGAGTTACAGTATCATAGTGATTCCACAATCATAGTCATTCCCTTTTGCGTATATCTAGCACTATAGTTCACTACTTAGAGCTCTTTGCTAATTTAGCATCTCGACTGACAGGATTCACTTGAATTCATTTTAAAACCATTGAATTGAAAGCTAAAGAGTGTAATTTTATATTTTAACAGGTTTGCTGAAAGCTACATTGGTTGCCTTCCCAAACTCATGCTATAGGTTGAACCAATGTGGCAGTTTCAGGATTTTATTATGTTTTTTTTTATTATTATTATTATTATTATTATTATTACTATTGTTATTATGACTATTATTATTATTATTATTTAACCAGCAATCATTGACAATTTCTTTTAATACTGAAACAAATATACTTTAGCTTTTAACATGGTTTTAATTTAGAAGTCCATTAGAAATGTTTATATGTATGCTCTGATACTTTATAGAGATTTTACAGTTATATCCAGCAAAACCTTAATAATAAAACAAGCTATGAGATCATAATGAAATCATTTTGACATGTTCTTTATTAGACTGAAAAGAGTTATTTATAGGACCATTAGATATATAAAGCTGAACC